GATCCTGGCAAGGCTATGGCAGTTGCTTTGTTCCCGATACCGAAAACAAAGCACTATGTACGCCGCTTTCTGGGACTTTGTGCTTATTACAGTCGCTTCGTGCCGAACTTTCCGAAAATCGCCGACCCTCTACAACAACTCGTCAAGGATGACGTCGCCTTCGTCTGGGGCCCCAAACAATCCGACGCTTTCCGCGATCTTCAACAACGCCTACAAACGCCACCGATCCTAGGTTACTTCGACACCGAAGCACAGAAGTCCGCACTGACGCGAGCAACCTTGGCCTCGGCGCTATTCTCGTGCAATATCACGATGGCGTGGAATGCGTCATCGCCTACGCTAGCCGCACGTTGTCATCTGCGGAGAAGAACTACTCGACGACTGAAAAAGAGTGTCTGGCGGTTGTATGGGCCATAACTAAATTCAGGCCCTACTTGTACGGACGCCCCTTCCGAATCGTCAGTGACCACCACTCTCTCTGCTGGCTAGCGAATCTGAAAGATCCTTCGGGCCGTCTCGCAAGATGGAGCCTTCGGTTACAAGAATTCGACATAACGATGGTTTACAAGTCTGGTCAGAAACACACCGACGCTGACTGTCTTTCCCGCGCACCCGTCGAGGTCACTGAAGAAGACAATGATGAAGACTTCAGCTGCCTTGCTATTCTCGCATCATTAAACGTGGCTGAGCAGCAACGCGAAGACTTAGAATTACAACCACTGATCGAATACCTTGATGGACGTCGCCCACAACCCCCACGTCAGTTCGTGCATGATTTGTCATCTTTCTGTCTACGCCAAGGCATCCTCTACAAGCGCAACTTTCATTCAACGAAAAATGTTTACCTCCTCGTCGTTCCTGCTGCTCTCCACGATGATATTTTGCGTGCTTGTCACGACCACGACGAGCCATCGTCAGGGCATCTTGGCTTCGCGCGTACTCTGGCGCGGATCAAAGACAAATACTACTGGCGGAAACTTACGAAAACCGTCCGGCAGTACGTTAAGACGTGCGCAGCCTGTCAGCGCCGCAAAACTCCAACGACGAAACCAGCCGGTCTGCTTCAGCCTTTGCGACCCCCTCACGCACCTTTTGAAAAGGTCGGGATGGATTTACTCGGCCCATTTCCGAAGTCTACGGCTGGTAACCGCTGGATTGTGGTTGCCACCGGCTACTTGACCAGATACTGCAAAACACAAGCCGCCCAGCGAGCAACTGCTTCCGAGGTGGCTGACTTTTTCATCAAGAACATCGTTCTTCGCCACGGTGCTCCCGCTGTTGTCATCACAGATCGTGGTACTGCTTTTACGGCACAGTTGCTCCGACAGATCCTGTTGCTGAGCGGCACGACGCACCCGCAGACTAACGGGTTAACCGAACGCCTTAACAAAATGATTGCAGATATGCTTTCGATGTATGTCGCCAAGGATCAGAAGAATTGGGATGAAATTCTCCCGTATATAACATTTGCCTACAATACGGCTTTGCAGGAAACCACCGGCTTTGCTCCTTTTCGTCTGGTTTACGGCCGCGACGTCACCACAATGCTTGACACCATGCTGCAACCAACTCTGCCGGACACGATTACCCCGGACGCAGATGTATTTGTTCAGCGTGCCAAAGACGCCCGGCAGCTGGCGCGCTTTCGCATTTTATCGCGGCAAAATCAAGATGCTCGCCGATACAACACCCACCACAGAGCAGTAATATACGAACCCGGTGACCTAGTCTGGGTTTTGGACTCCTATACGTCAACGGGGACGCTCCGAAAAATTGTTATGTCGGTACTTCGGACCCTACCGGGTTCTTCATCGCCTCGGCGAAGTGAACTACGAAGTTGTCCCAGCAGACACGTCACACCGTTCTCGCAGACCACGCTCCTCGGATGTGGTTCACGTATCCAGGATGAAGCCGTACTATTCGCGTTGACTGCAAGTCAAGAACTTTGTGATGTGGCAATAGCCTTCAAGACAATTGTGCATTACTTTCTTGCTTCTTTATTTTTCATCTCGTCTTTTTCTTTTCAAAGGACACAGACATTTCTGACTAACTTTCGTTGTTTTTCGGAGCCGTCGTATTCATGCGATGCTTCTTCTTTTTTTTTCTTTGGGGAGAGGGTAATGCCACGCTGTGTTGGTGGCAGAAGACGAGAGCGAAGAAGTGTACGGCAGCTGTGGCTGAGTAAACAGTCCTCCACTTCGAGTTCCTGCCTATCGTTTCCCCTCGCGACAATATACATGTGCCAGAACAGCTCGCATCGTTAGTTGGACCGAAACAGGGCCATTCACTACTGAAATCTGACCGAGCCACGCCTGTTGCGGTTTCGCCGTCGAGTGCGCACCTGAAACTCCAAACACAGAAGGCTCAGACGCATCGAACGTCGCACGCTACCAGGCGCAAGAACCACTCATAGTGAACAGCAAAGAAGAAGCCCCTGATGAACTATCTATCAACTCTGAATGTTTTTTCATTGCAAGACTTCATTTCTATGGCACTGCAGACTAGCCAAAATCTGCAGTTCGAACCTGGTGATGCCCGTCACCTGTGGCATCTTCATGCAGTGCTCACCAATTCAAGAATCCAACCAATTCAGAAGTACATCATACATCAAACCTCGTACGCAGTTGTCTTTCAGAAGCGTCCGTATTGAACAACGTCACCGAAGCCTCTGAAGAGCATGCTAGCAATGATGGCGCACCACCAACCATGCCCGATAAGCAAGACACCAGTTCACAATGCACCAGCAGTCTATAGAACACGTCAACTTACGAAAGACATGAATGTCCAATTCTGAAAGAGGATCCACTACAGTCATCTCTTGAGCAATATCAGCAAAGCAAGCAAAGCCTAGCCAACAAACTCATGCGACAATGAGTGAGACTGCAACGAAGGCATCGACGAACGCGAAATTCAATGGAAGCATACTCATCAATTGAAGAGCAGTGGAAAATAAGACCTCCAACCCAAAGACTATTCCAAGACGTCAAAAAGGAAAGAAGCCAGAGACGCTCCCTGTGCCTGCAGTTACACAGACCGCAACACCACGGAAAACGCCAAGAAAGATGCAGAAGCACTTCTTGCATACCGCTAGCACTCGGGCATCACGCCGTCACAATCCGCCAAGAAGCACGCATTCTAGAAGCAAAGCGTCTGTCGCAGCCACGACTCAAAATCCAACGCATGAGACATCCGACCTTCCAACGCTACAAGAACTCCCTACCTTGTTCGTTCCTCACTACTAACCAGGCTGTGTCATCATCATTTTCCACGCTTAAGGCATGGTTATGCTCTCCAGAATGCAACAGCCAACCTCTTCCACTTGAGGTCTCCTAGATATCACCGGACTGCCTTTCCTGTGAACGTTTTTGTGCAAGTGCATGGAACCGCCATGTGACATGGAACTACTGCATTTTCTGCAATTATTTTTGTTATTATGAGACTCCACTTGTTCATGCTTTGTAGAATATAGCTCACGCATTCTTTCGGGGAAGGGGGAATCATGTGACGCAGGAGGAAGCGATGGTTGGTAGAAGCCAAGAAGAAAGAAGTGCTTTCGAATAAACATGGCGTAGCCACGTCGCCCATTCCTCGTAGCGTCACACACACACATATATATATTGTAACGAACAAATACAGTGCAGGAAGCCTCGTCACCTTCTCTTGCGTCTCGCCTCGAGCTGCTCCTCGAAAAACTGCCAGCGTTCCTTGTCCAGCGTGTGATGTGGTGACACGTGCAGCCAGCGTTGCATGGCGCGTTTATAGCTTGGCGTGTTTGGCTTGTCCGTTGGTGTGGCAGAATTCAAAGCAGCAGGAAGCGGCGTAGGACTTCGGCAGGTGCCTAACAACATGCGGAAATATATATGCGAAAGGACACATATATCTGCCCACGCAGCGTGGCGCGTTGTCCATTCATTCTAGTGGCTGCTCGTTAATTTGAGCTCTGCTAAATTAAAATAATTTTATAGTCTTCATTGAGTTCAAATTAACGAGCCTTTACTCTATTCAGATATGTGCATTTGTGTGAAAAAAACTTCTTAACATCCCATCGAAGAATAGTATTCTCTTTGCTTGTTATGTGGACCATGTGTTGTGGCTTTTGATTCCAAGTTGGGTCCAAAGAAATTTTTACTGCGAAAGCTGTTAAGAGATCACAACACGGGTCATGTGCGACACCGTAGTTGTCCGCAGCGGCCACTGTCCGTAACCACTATTGCATGAAATGATAAAAAACTCAATAAAAACACCAAAAACGTACTGGGATTCCAACCTCGTTACACTGCGTGCCAGCCCAGTATTCTACCACTAAGCCACGTCGATGCTTGGGGCTCGTTCCCTAACTTGCCTTAGGCAGGCTTGATGTCGGGAAAGGAATCGTGTTAATATGAGTAATAAAGCGTTTTAGAACAGCATAGGAACAACAGGCGTCACAGAATGCGAGTTGCATAATAAGTGGGTCATACAATGCTCCAGCCCATTACAACAGCTTGTTCTTCATCACCTATTAACTCATACTCATTTCAGGCATAATCCTTCCTCAACATCAGCCACCAAATGAAAAATGAAATTCGCACGAAATTCGTTGCAAGTGTTTAGTGGATACCACACTTCTCTGAAGCATGATGAAGAATTGCATAGTGAATGCCTGCCTATTACAGAATAATTAATGGTGTAGTGGGTGTTGCAGATACTAAAAGAGTGTTAAAAAAGGCCCTTAAAGGCTGTTCTTCTAGCTTTCGCTGTGACAGCGCTGCGCATTCAGCACAGGCTTGGAGTTTTTGTTTTTTGGCTTCACAAAAGATTTTTCGAAAAAGAGACCATATCATGCTGTCCAATAAATTAATTTTCTTGTGAAAAAACCTCAACTGAATTATTGCAAGAGTATGGACCATTGGAGAACCAATGGGTTCCCAGCAATAACGCAAATGACGCCCAGTAAATGCTGTATTATTTTGCATCTTCTTCCACCAGGCCTTGGCTGTGGTGAAATGAGAGAGAAAATGTTGCTTGCTAACAAAACTTTTATTCAGTAAGGGCAGTCATTTTCCATTCACTAGAATTAGAAAATGCGTCGTGATTTTCTTCCTTTTGTTACTGCGCATAACTAATTCTTCATTTCGAGGCGTCCTCTAGTAACGTTGATTGGGCATCACTGGTTTCATGCACTGGAGGCTTGATGTAACTCGGCAGCCTTTCCAGCGTGGTCTAGGCAGAGAGAAAGAAAAGTAAGCATCTTCTTAACGATGAAAGGTTCAAAACAGGCATGATGAGCAATCTTGGTCGTGACGGTTTCATTTCAAGACTAAAAACGAAAGGGTGCTTTGTTCAACGACAGCTCGTAAATTGAGTCTTACACCTACACAGCAACCTTTCCTAGACCTCATTGCAGGAAACCAATTAGAGGGTATGTTACAACACACTTCGGAAAAATCCCGTAGAAAAGAGGGCAGTTGAGCAGATGCACTCCCTAACCGTCCTACAAAGTTTAGTGGAAAATTTGGCTACATCACTGTCGCTGGGATTTCAGTCGAAAATTGGGTTTAACTTTAATGCGACAGAAGATCAATGAGAGCTACTGCCATTGCAATGACAATGTTCTGCTGTGCATGCCCCTCTCACTATTGTAAAATCGGTCTATTGGAATAAAATACTGCACTCGTTGCGAGCCTCCTTCAAAATGATAATTAAAAAAATTTTTGCACCCAAGATTTTCAACCAATGTGAAAGATTGGGTCCTCAAATCGATAGACACAATATTTATTTCAGGCAGAAACTACAGGAAAATAATGAATTTAATGCATTTTTCACAAACTGCTGCATTTAGCTGCTACGTGGTCATCTAGAAGAGATCTCGTTTGGTGACGTTACACACGCCCGAAACAAGTAAGCCAACAATGCTAGCCCTTGTCCATATATCTTGGCCTGGTCAGCTTCTCCTACGGTGCATGGACCACTACGAATGACACCAATACTGAACAACACTCTCTGTTGGTTTGAAGGGCTTTTGTGGAACGAAGCATCAGCACTTTTTGCGGAATAAACACACGTAACATTCTTGTATTCGTATCAATAAAGAAATCTGAAAGAGGGAGGGTGGCACGAAAGAAGAGATGGAGAGAAGGAAGAGGAGGACAGGAACATGCACACCCTGCATAAGCCACGGCGATTGTGACATTACGGCTCGCACTCGCGTGCAGCCGCTGCACGCTGACAATCAGTCGAGAATTCAGCCAGCTGTTACAAATGCAGCAAGTTAACTCTGTTTATCGGAGCAGTCGTATCTGCCGAGTAGAAATTCAAAGTTTTCGTCAGTTTTTACGATTTTCGTTCATGATTCCTTTGATATATCACGCAAAATTTAACATCACTTCCAGACTTCAGTCCCTAAAGTACCACCACTGTTCATTCAGTTTCACTCTATATACACTGAACGTTTGAGGTTTAGAGAAATGAAACAAAGATTAAAAAAGAAAAAGGGCACTGTAACCTCTTTTAGGTATATTATGCACATGCATGGCATGCTCAAAGTTATGTTTTCGGTGTTCAATACCGCTTAATGCTCATTTTTCTTGTTATATTTAATGCCTCATGAATCCAAGCTCACTACAAAGATTATCCTAAACCAAAAAAAGAAATGTCCCACCTTTGTGACCTTCATAGCGACTCCTTCTGGAAGATTTCTCTGAATGTATTCGAGATAGGTGTCAGCCGTAGAGCCTGTCAGGTGCTTGAGCTAGAACCAACAAAGGTGAGGCAAAAAACACAGTGTCAGCTGAGTAAGCAATGTACATAGTGCAAAGTGATTCAAAACAAGATATAACACGAAATATCCATAAGTGCATACTTTTAAAGTTAAGGTGGAGAACAATTTATCTTAGTTAAAACGTCCCAGACATTTGTAAAATCATCATACAAGTCTCCATTCATAATCTACGTGGGAGATTCGGTAGAAGTAGCAGTTACGAAACAGAGAGCCGTCGCCAACACCTTCGCTGCCACTGTTGGCAGCATCGGTAAAAGCCTCACAGTTATTTAGGAAATAAAATATACTCTGCAAACTTCGATGCTGTTTGGTTAATTGATTCGATGAGCATATGAGCACACAAGCACAATGTTTACAATACACAGAGGAACTCCACAACGTACTGCAAAGAACTAAATGCCAGTGTGCTTGTTTTTGTTGTGCTACAAGGACAAAAAATGAAGTATGAGGAAAAAAAAATAATATCTAGAGTATTACGTCTCAAAACCATGGTATGATTATGAGAGACACCGTAGTGGACGGCTTCGGAAGTTTTGACCATCTGGTGTTCTTTGACGTGTGCCGAGATTGCAAAGCACCCAGGCCTCAATTATTTCACCTCCAGCGAAATGCGACCACCACGGCCAGGATCGAACCTGCGACCTTCAGGTCAGCAGGAGAGTACCGTAGCCACTGATCCACGACGGTGGACGAGAAAATTGGCTTGGGGCAGCCATTGCATGACTTGAGTATGACGTGCAAATATCACATAATTAACCCTTCCACTGCTGGGTTTTCTCGGCAGTGCTCTGCACTCCCTGCCAGGTTTTCTTCTTTCACTATCATGAAAAAATATGCTCCCTGCCAGGTTTTCATGCACTCCCTGACAGGTTTTCTTCTTTCACTATCATAGGAAAATATGCTAGCAGTGCTGAAGGATGCTTTGCAAGACACATACAAACATTTTTATTCAGCATTATTTCATCATATAAAAAGTTGCACTTATTACAAGTACAAGTACGATAACAAGCGTGAGCAATTTATAAGCAATTTACTAATCAAAATATTTACCTACTGATTCAGAACAAAAAGCAAAGGTTATTCACTATCGTGGGAGCTTGAATTCATAAAAAGCTCTCCAAGTTTATCGTTTGCCGAATCGGGCACGTACGTGGCATGCTAACTTGCATTGGCTACACTGCTGAGACACTGGCAGAGACATGTACCGGCGCGATAATAAAAAAATGCTCTGTGCCAGTTGTCAAAATATTTACAACCAGTTATATTTGTTTATGTGTCCAGCATATAGATGACGGAACACACCTGCATTATTTCCGTTTCCAACAGTTGTTTTGAAAGTGTTGGGCGGTGGTTTAAAGAAGCAAAACGAGTATACTGGCGATTGGCAGAGCTCAGGCGTGTGTAGTCGCCTACGTTATCTTGAGATTGCCTTACCTGCTCTATTTCTGCAACGTAATTACACTCAGACCTCAAAACCAACGTGGATGTAACAAAATATTGGTTATAACGAAGTAAATGAAAACTGGTCTTGCAATTGATACATTGTATGGAATATAACTTTATAACAAACTTTCAGATATAATGAACTTTATTGATTAAACTTTGTTATAATGAGGTTTGAGTGCATATTTTGCCTAACAGCAGCTGGTTAGCAGCGGTGCAGGCAAATTCAATAAGCTTTTTTTTTTATACACCTAAAGCTTATTAGATCAAAGTCAGTGTGGTCTGCCACCATCATAACGTGGTTGGGTTGAGGCTATGATTCAAACGTACAACCTGCCACAGCCCGTAGATGTGTGCTACATTGGGCTAGTTGGTAGAATGTTGCTGAACAAGCCGTACTGACAGCAGGGAGCAACGCAGGCACTGAAAACACTGCTGAGTAGAGTGATTCTTTTTTTAACCAAGGCTACTATATTTCAGAGGCTCAGTTCCTTATGCTTCTTCTTTGCTTGTCGTTCTCTTTCACTTCAATGCCCATGTTGTCGTCTACTGGTGACTCTGTTGTCTATGCTGTCTGCTTAGTCAACCATAACTACTTAGCACTCAAAGTAGGATCGCGTAGAATGCCAGAGCAGTTCAGTGATTACTGCACATGGAAACTGAAGCATGCCACAGTACCTGTAGGGGCCAAATGCCAAATGAACTGAATTACTGAAATTTTTAAGTACCGTATTCCAAATAAATGATTAAATGTAATATACTGGATGTGACCCTTGTAAGGGTAGTTCCACTGCAGTAGAGAGGTGCCAAGCCGAGAAAGAACGCAAATGTTATATTTATTCGCATGTAACATCCTGCAAAGGTGCTTTTACTGCAGTAAAGGAACGCTAAGCCGTGAAAACACCTATCTAAGGGGAGTTTGCACTGAATGCGAAGGACCCACTGCAGGGTTAAATGAACATATTACCCTCACATCGAATAATCATTTTTATGTTGAAAAGCTTGTTATATGGGCTGATAGGCCTGTAGGTACAGTAAATTTTAAAACAACATACTTTACTGGTTATCACTTGCATTGTACAGAAGTCAAATCCTGCTACTACCTAAAATTCATTCTTTGCTCAAGCCTAGTCTAAACCTCATAAAAATGAAGTTTCACCTGACACAAAACATGGCTGTGTTATATTCAAAAGTACATTACACAAGTCTGCATTCACCACCATGCACTAAGGAAAAGACTATTGATGTATACTTTGTTACAACCAAAAACTCATATCTGTATTGGTTATGTAGACCCTTGACTATTGATTGATGATTGATGTGTGGGGTTTAACGTCCCAAAACCACCATATGATTATGAGAGACGCCGTAGTGGAGGGCCCCGGAAATTTTGACCACCTGGGGTTCTTTAACGTGCACCCAAATCTGAGCACACGGGCCTACAACATTTCCGCCTCCATCGGAAATGCAGCCGCCGCAGCCGGGATTCGAACCCGCGACCTGCGGGTCAGCAGCCGAGTACCTGAGCCACTAGACCACCACGGCGGGGCGACCCTTGACTATGTCACAATAAAAGAGGGTACCTCAATGACTTCAAAGTGCGTCCTCATTTCGTACTGGACCATGTGTTTCTTCTTGCCGAATGGGGCCTTCAGCAGGGTCCACCTTTCGTGCACCTTTTTCGGTTGCCACCTGGCCAGGAGAAAAATGATGGGACCTTAATCGCTCTGACACACAGTAACGACATATCCAAATGCTCAAAGCAGTACTCTAGAAACCCCTTAAACCAACAAGGTCGAAACTTAGTTGTAGTGTTGCAGTCATGAACAAGTCAACCGGGACAATTTTTTTAAATGGTGCCACAATAGGGAAGTCACATGCGTCTGATGATCGAAACATGATCCTCACTCAGATGGGTGTCAACAGCATTTGGTTTTTGAGGGAGGGGGGGGTAAACCAGTATTTAATTGCAGTATGGGAGTGGGAGAGGACCCGTGTGGGGCTTCAGAGCCAGTGCTTGAGGGGGGCGTGTGTCCCCTTTGCATCCCCTCCCTATGGTTGCATCCCCGCTCGATGGTTGAATCCGCTATCGATGGCTCGTTGGTTTCACTCTTTCCTTCACTATGCACCGTTCACTGGCTTGCCTCTCCTTCCTAGCCGAGTGCTCCTTATCGCCTCGCGAGGAGGAAGAGCAGGAAGCGTGCCCAGCTGCAGGTGGACAAATGGGTTCTTTCTAAGCCGACATGACCAGATTTTGCCGGGGGCATTACAACCAACTACAGGAATACCGAAAAGGCCTGAAGAGAGGGATGAGGTTATTATTATGTTCCTTTTTCGTGGCATGCCCACAGCACACATTGCTGCCTTATTTGGCACTGCTGAAGGATCAGCAAAATAGCACTCTGACTCTGACATGTTACGGCACGCACTGAAAGGGACAGAGAAAGAAAACACAAGACACAGCATTGTTAGTAAACACAGCATCTGAACTCCGATGCGTGCATTTACTCAAAATATAAAAAAAAGAGGCAGTGAGTTTGAACAGTTTTGGTCCAAAGTCCATGCTACTTTCTAAAAGCCATCAACACCCTAGATTTGAGTAGAAGCATGTTGGTGTTGAGACTTCAACAATGTATTTTGTATAGGATGAGTGACCTTCCACAAACACATACCGTAAAATACCAATTAAACGCTCCCACCCATGTAAGTGCTCCCCTCATATACCGTGAAAATTTCCTAGTTTCGATATCTACCGAGCAAGTGCCCTTACCATCAACCAGCCACTCTCTGTCGAATCATCCTGAACTGCCGAAACCGAAACTGCGCCAACAGCTACGCTCTTGCCTAATCCAAAATACAATCGGAAAATTTGTCACGTGACCACATTGACCACATTCGCTGGCATTGGCACGATGCCTGCCATTTTGTTATTGCCATTTGTAGGTTCCCAACGTGACAATGGCGACTTTGGACATGCATTCCTAAACAGTAAAAAAAAAAAAAAGAATTTGTACAATGAAATCGCCAGGCGGGAAGGAATGTGCCCGCGACAGCTCGCCACTTCAGTATTGACAGAAAAAGTGTTTGCGAGTGGGACAAGAAGTTTGAGAGCTTACTGCAACAAAACTTTGGCACGGCCAAGCTTCGGCGTAAGTTGAGCAACGGAGCTCCAGTGTTCAGTGAGGAAGTCCGCAGAGCCGAGATGTGCCTGACCCGCAACATCTGCCCACCTAAGGATACCTAGCTAGCATAAACCTATGCCCAAGAACAACTACCTGCGAACTTTCAACAAACCTGGTCAAAGTGTACTCCTCCACAAAAAAAATTTCCTGGCTACAACACTGCTATTCTTGGCTAAGTCACTGCATTGTTTTCTGGGCCTAAGTCTAGTTAACATATGCAACAAGATGGCTTGTTAGATTAGATTCATACCTGTACATTAACACACAGATGAAAGGTTAATGACAGAGAGTATGGTGTTTCACTAGTGGATGCGAACATTCACTGAATGCAAAGCGTATATAAAGGGTGTTTCAAGAATCGTGTCCACTATTCTAAAGAAAAAATCAGGCAAATGTGATATTTGCTTGCTGTCCTCACAAGTGCTTCTTCTGTAGTGGCTTGCACCTTACGATGACTGAAGACAACATTTTGGTCAGAATTTAAGTTAAATTTATTGACTCTAACTAATAGAGTAATGCAGTGATACCCAATGGGAGAATTGAAATCTTTCATGCAAAGAACTCATTGCAGCTTTGAGATATAGAAATGCAGTTTGTATTAAATATTGTGATGTAATGAAGTTCAGGAATATTCAGCAGCGAAATCGAAACCAAAGCACCAATGAGTGCGACAAGCAGAAAACTAGAATAACGTTAATTACAGAGGTGTATTTCTTTCCCATTCATTCACATATGTGCATCATGCATGCTATTACTGCAAGCACAGCCCACACACCCACACAACGAGGTCGGCTGATGGTTAATATAACGACGCTCAATCCTCATGGAAGTCTCTACGAATATGGCTGCTGCGCTCCTCCGTGTTTTGGTTTTGCCACAGAATTTGGGAAAATTAATTGCTTCGCAATTATTACTAGAGGCCGCTTTTTCAGTCTCAAAACTGCAATGGGTTCTTCGCACAAAGACTTAGATTTTCCCATTCGACTTAACTGCCCACTCTGCTAAATAAAAGTTATTTAGCTTTCTTGACCGCTTTCCCAAACGACGTCCTCAATCAACCATCTTAAGATGCCTGCCACTATAAAAAAGCAAACGTGAAGACAGTGAGCAGATGCCACATTTTGCTATTTTTTAAAGAAAATCGGACAAATTTTTCTGTAACACTCTGTGTGTGTGTGTGTGCGTGTGTGAGTGCATACACGATTTGCTTGCATTGGCGCTCTTTGAGACCTCTTCAAATAACTGCCTAATACTAATATAGACTTCTCGTCTTCCCACTCATTCCTCTAGCCAGTGTTTCTGTCTGAGCACTGTAACCAGCTCACGAGGATATCAGCTCACATCCAAGCTCACGCAAACCAGACACCTGAGTTTTGCTGGGTGAATGCAGGTACGCTGCTCGCTAAAACGATCTCCTCCTGGACCAATATGTTTACTCACTTGCCAATGAAAGCCTCATTGTTAGTCATCTAGGAGAGGTGAACCATCACGAAAGAAGGTAACTCACGTTCTTGAGACTTTGATGTCCAAAAGCTTTGCGGCCTCCAACGCGTACCACTTGTAGCTCTTGAGAACTGCGGTGTCGTGACCTCGGACTTCGAGCTCGATTCTCTTATAGAGCTTGTCCGGTTCTCCGTTGTCTCCTACAGTCACCCCAGATTGGTCTTCGGAAACGTGTAAGGAGGCATCCTGAAATCGAGCAGAGATCAAGGTCAAGTGTGCTTGGAATGGGAAGAAGCACGGCAGGAAAATGTGGTTCCGAGGCCTGTACACAAGGACGCTGATGCGTGATGCCCAAGATTTGAACTTGTGTTTTCCGCTCTGATGAATTGGATTGAATTTTTTATGCGCAACAATGTTGGAGAAGACAAAACCCAAAAGATATTGACCTCAATGTATGTGTCTCACGATAATTTATAGCAAGCACACGTACAGGCATATAATTATGTAAGCCTACACATGAGCAAGTTTGGATCTACGATACATATATGTCTATGCATAGACATATGAAAATGATGATAGTAACTGGATTTCTCCTGAATCAACATGGTTTCATTGCTGCCTAATTTCAATTTCACAGAGTAAAATACAACCTAGAGTGAAGGTTTAAAATTTTAATTTGAGTAATCTTATTAATAATCTAACATAAAACTGCAATTCTTAATGCAGGTAATATACTTCTACTTCATAGACATGCTCATTTTCGAAACGTTGTAGTTATACTGTATTTTCTACGGTACAGTTGTGGGCTAGTTGGTTAGAATGAAAGAAGGAAGACTGTTCGAAAAGATCGTTGGACTCAATCAAACAAATAAGTATAAATAGGCAATCAGGCCAACATAAAAATAGGGTTTGCTTTTAATGGATTGAGGTGTCAACCCACAACCGCTAAACTAATGACCCTATATATATATATATATAGGGTCAATTGTCTGTTGGTTTCATTTAGTTTGGCTTGTTGGTTCATCATATTGTTTTGGAATGTAGTGCGGGGCAACAGCAGGACATTGGCACAACAGACGCAAAGTGCTTTGGTATTTGTTGTACACATGTGTAGTGCACTGCTGTACAACGCTCTGTCCAATTTCTATTCTGCCATAAAATATTTCTATAGGAGATTACCGGAAGACCTGAACAATTCATACTTACTGGACCGCAACAGAAGTTTAAGCTCCGCAGTCCAGCCACCGTTCAATCAGGAGTAGTGCTTACCTGTTGTGCTGCCTGGTTAGCCGCGACTTGCGAGCAAAGCCGGGCTTGACGTGTGGTGACCAGTCCGTTCAATCGAAGTAGCTGCGCAGGCACCATGCACCGAGTAGGACTCGCGGCCAGAACGTCAGCTGTTAAACCATTCCTCAGAGCATCGGCGAGAACCTGAAAGCAGAAATAACGACGAAAAACTACCACTGACTATTCGCGCACGACGAGTTGCATGCGGTATTTTAGGGTTTTCGCACTAGTTAAAGTTGCTAAGATCGAGAAGCCGTATGGCTTCATATGGGCAGCGATAAAATTCGGAGACTGTATGAAGATATGTCTGTCACCATTTTTTTTCTTAGTTCAATGCAATACACAAGTCGCTAAAACGCTTGCTAAAGTTGGGAGTTGCGGAACTGCATACGAAGTGCGATTGCATTGCCAGCTCGGCGCTGAACTGGTATTCTTATGGGTCATTGAACAGGCGCAAACGCACGTACCCTGCTGATGCAGAAGACCTTGGAACCCATAGAGTACGGAGAATTTAATTCCAATCTGTTCACAAACACATCACAACGCAGCACGTGCCAAAACCGCAAGAGATGCAGACGCCATCAAACAAACACGGTGAAACCGGAAATATTGAAAACTGCTAGATAAATAACAAAACTTTGTCACTAAAGCCAAGAGGGAAGTGCTTGAAAACTGCTTGAAGCAAAACAGTAACCAGCGCTACAAGAAACGAAGTTAACAGAGGTCGCGGTCGTCGCGAAGGCTACTTCCACTTCCGTCAAATATCTTCAGCTGTTAATTTATTTGGTTTCTTTGCTTGTAAACACCTCTTTGTTCTGCGAGTGAGTGCTGTCGTGCGCGGCCGCTCAGCCGTTTACTTAGCTGATAGAACTAAAACAAAACGCGCTGGATATGCCTTACCACGAAAGACAAGATCGAGACTGTTCATAGAACGACGCTGGCCCTCACAAACAACCTGAGCTGATCGGGCCGCACAAGTGAAAAACTTCTCGCGACTCAAGAAGACCCCCTTGAAAGCAAGCAACGTCTTTGGCGCTGCAACAAGGAACGACCTTCGCCCAGTCCGAGGATAACACTCTGTGCGTAGTACACTTGTGCACGATGTGTTGTTCAATCGCTAGCGCGTACAACAAAGCACCGTATCCTTTCATTCGCGTGTCGGTTGTGCGGGGCTCGGGAAAGCTTTTCTCCTAGATCGCACCTCTATTGCGCTGTTTGTTTCGTTACTCAGAAGCCGTCCCGTTGACGCAGCCCTCCGCTAACCCAGACGCGATATTTTGGACGTTTTCCATGGGAGAAAAAAAATAAATAAATGTAGGTTGCTCCGGCGTCCGCGTGCCTCTCGTCTACTTTCGTCTGGCCGTATCTTTTTCGCGTGCACCTGTCGCATTCTGACCGTATCGTAGCATGTTTTTCACTGTTGTGCGTTCTGGATAGGAAGAGCTAGCCGATTGAAGTCCTCGGTCGCCGGTTGCACCAATACGGCCATCGCTCGCCCACGCTCGTTCCGAAAGCACGGAACTCTTGTTGGGATTGACGATTACCGACGGATGCCAGTTTTCGTGTAAGACAACACTACGACTTTCGTAGATTTATCGATTACTTCGTGGTGTCGGTTGTCGACGATTTGTCGTTTCAACTCGACTGCTCGTGTGCTAATCCTAGACTGCGTCGCTTACGTTCGCCGTAAGTTGTGCGTCATGCTTCGCCGCAACCCGCTTCGTACCAGCCTGCGCCGACACCTCTGCATTGAGTAGTAAAAATAGTGTTCCTACCCACTGGCAGTCATATTGCTCGTGCCTTTCTTATCTCGGGCTTTTAGCGGCGCAGTTGCATTCAATATCCATCTCTCCATTTGGATGATGACCAGCTATTGCATGTCACAAGGTGGTTTTTATAATGTGGTGTGTCGCGTAGTTACGTGCATGGCGATCTGTGTCATATCTTCCGTGACAACTGCTTGTCTATCATGTCTCGTTCATTGACTGCGTCTAGATTGCCGAGGCATTCGAAATAAGCACGCACATTCCCGCAAGGCCGAACGCGTGACTATTTTCAGGGGCAGGCAACTTGTCGTGAAAATTAAGCGTGCAGTGTGGTTTTATTAGCAGCGTTCAGATGTTCAAGACACCGGAAGCGGTTTGTGCGAAGGTCTTGGGCATTAGCTCTTTTTGTTTTATTTTTTTCATTAGTTCTCTCTTCTGACAGCCGTGGAAACTTTCGCTCGGAGGGAACCCGCCGTTAGGAGAGAAACGCAGCAAAGTAAAACTCGGCGTGACCCATTTCACGCCACATGGTCGGGCGCGCGTTTATTTCAGATGCGCGCTAAACTCGGACCATGGGCGAGCAGGAACTCGGAGAGGTGGCCGTGGGCACGCGCGTCTCCTGTGACGGTCACTACGGCGTTGTGCGCTACTGTGGACCCGTGGTGGACACGAAGGGTGAGAGAGACGTCCCTGCTGGTTCATTGCATTTGCTGTTTCGTTCTGCTGATGTTCTCATTTGAATGAGACTGCACAAGTGTTGTTTGCATCAGAGATCACCTGACAACTTGCACGAAACTGTAAAATAAGGCTGCATTCGTGAACACTACCATGACACGCGCTGTTCCGCATTTGCCGATTTCTGTTGGTACACGTCAAGTGTCATTTGAATCACTGATGCTGCTGCGTAGGGTTGGATATTTTCAGATTAAGTAACCTGTGTATGTGAGGATACGATAGCATTGCATTCATTCTCAACAGCATTTATATTATTCATGCTCTTTACAGAGTAACATTTGATACCTAGTACCAGTAGCACGAGTTTACACCTTTGACAGAGTGAGTTTGACACTGGTGTGATTGACAATTTGCTAATGTGCATAATTTTGCAGAAAAATAAAGGCGATAGTTTGAGACAGTGACGTCATTGAGTCAAAGCAGAAGAAAATAAACCTTTTAAATCAAATCTTTGTGTGAAATTTTGTTTTGTGAAAAGCGAAATATTGGGGTAGTGTGGTGTCTGTCAAGCAATAAAAGGTCATTTACATAATTTCAGCCAATTTGAATCATCTAGCAATTTTTATATGTCACTTCAAAGAAGAAAGTCTTCAATAAAAAGCAATGTGTAATCATACTTGGTGCACACTATGACATTGCCGACAAAAAGTCAAAGCAAGTCCGTGTGGTGTGGTTGATTGTGTATGTTGATAGAGCCACATCCAATATACTATAGCATTGTACGTTGCTTGAAGAAATTGCTTTGTCAAATAATCAATTGCTTTGCTTGAACTATTCTTTAGTTACCCAGATAGGGAAGGCCTGGTTAGTAGTTGGGAACTAATGCGCTTGAATGATCTAGCATTTGCAAAAAAAAAAAAAAAAACGATAAACCGGAAAGAGAAAACTCAACTTTTTGACTACCAGTGGTAGTTCTACTGCAGGACTATTAAAAATAGTTGCCCCCTTGTTACTGTATTTTTTCCCTTATTCTGTGCAATGCCTATTGTGTTGTTGCGAGATACTTGGACAGAATGATCACATGACAACTTTGAAGAGGTAATTTCTCAATTTAGTAGCAGCAGCTGTAAAATTGATATTCTAAATTTTGAATGTTTACTTACTCCAGATTGCCATATTGAGTGTGGAGCTTGGGAGCCACTGTTCTTACTCCCCTTTTTCCGCCTTAAAATGAAAGTGCATTTATGGAGGTGTTTTTCTGAAACAATAATCATCTATCCTGCGTACCTTTCCTGGTGTTGTTGCTGCCTGCTCAGTACTTCCTGTTCACCAAGCCTGTCATAGCATTCTTTATGGGAAATTAGTGAGCACGCAGTTGTTGAGAAAAGAAACACAAGTAAGCAAGATGCAGATTATTATTGTGTGGCAGAAAGATGCCTCATATACACTCGTTCTCTTTGGAGTATTCACTCCAAAAACAGTTGCACCTTTTGGGGTGTCTTCTTCACATACGTCAGTTTTCTTCCTTGCAGCTTTTCTTTGCTTTAATGGCTCACATCAGATACTGCGAGGTCACGAATGGCACACTCGTTATCAACATGATATAGCATTTCCGAAAGAGAAGTAACATATTCAAGAAAGGAAATGTGGACAAGGCAGGTGACTATAACTGTTGTGGGACAAAAGACGCTCCCCAATGGGTGCATACTTTTCATCGTGTGGCAGAAAGACACCCCAAAGGCAGAAACGGGGGTGCAAATACTTTCAGCGTTTTTCACTTGGAGATTTGTAGTGGCCGCCCAAATTCGTGATTGATAATTCAGATTGCATCAAGCCAAATTTTCCGGCAAAATACAGAAATGCTCCGTCTGCTAGCATAACATCGGAAGTTATTCATGCACGTGCCACGCTAACCATTTCCGAAAAACTATTCCTGCTTCTGCTCTGTACGTTTCCATGGCAACCTCAGTAGCGACTTAAACATGCAACCAAGGTTTCTTGCAGAATGACAGAAATGACGTGTGTTGCTCCTACTATTTCTACCTGAATCTGCGACTTGGCAGCGGAGCAAGCGAAAGTAATCTTGCATTGGAAGAGTTGCTTTGAAACGACTAGTAGAACAGATAACTAGTGGAACACATGAGCTCACTATTGTCACCACTGGGATGCTGCCGGTGTTTTATCTTGGGGGAAGGGGGGCGAATATCCAACCCTAGTTTTTATATGTTTGGGCTTGTGTGTGTGTGTGTGTGTGTGTGTGTGTGTGCATGTGTGCATGTGTGTGTGTGTGTGTGTACACTAAAATCGCTAAAGCATTCAATTCAGTGATAACAGGTAAGAGAATGCGACACACTCAAGAGCAAACTCCCAACTGAATTTTTGCCATAGAAACACATCAAACGGTAACCATGCACCTTTGCAGTTAGCATTTGTGTGTGTAGCATTACCTTGTGTGTAGTCTCTGAAGTTTGCGCTATAGTTGCTTCACTGGAGTGCCAGCTAGCCCAAAGCTGCACTTTACTAAGTGACTATACCCTCTAACCTCAATATAACAAAATTATAAAGATATATTCTTAACATTATGTCTATTGCAAGAATAGACTTCATTTGTTTCGTTACAACTGATCTTTCATTATATCTGGTATGGTTATATCGAGGTGCGAGTGTACATGCCACTTGTAAAGGTGTTGTAGGGTAGGCGAGGATTCACTTACCCTACTCTGTAGCTAAACCAGTGGTGACTATTGTTTTGTCATTATTTTGTGTGCTGAACACAGAACCACTGAATGATGAGTAGTATTAAAGAACACCAATACAGATATCATTTATTCATTTAAAATTGAAAGTTGAGGTGATTATTGTACAGCAAAGATTTTGTGTTCCAAAGCCATGATCTGATCATGATGCACGCTGTGATAGGTGACTCTAGATTAAACCCCATCAGATGTCTTTGGGAACCAAGCTCTGCTTTGTTGTATTTTTTCTTTCTTTTGTCTTGCAGCCAAGGGATTTTGCAAACGCCACCTTATCATTACGTTGTTGGTGTCATAAATCTAGAGCTCGTATCGATAAGCCAACCTTATCCTCATGTCAATTTTTCTTAAGTTTCTGTACACTCTGGCTGCACTATAACGGCATAAAAATGGTAGCATGGTAAAAGATGACTACAAGGTTAGTTTATTAATGTTGGCCTACCTTTTTTTATCGCATGCATTAAGGAGGCCCTGCAACTCTTTTGCGACAGCCTTATTTAGCACTGAAACACATGTAGCAATGATTTATAAAACGAATGCAACAAGAATGATGGAAATCGTTGCACAAAAATTGAACTTATGAGTCCTCAAAATTCAAAACTCGAGTAGACGACGGTAAGCAACATTCCCTTTCGCTCGCCTGCTGACGTCAAAGACCGCTTTCAATCGGAGCACGCGTCTCATAAAGACATACTGGAAATGTAACCTCATGGTGGCCTTCACACAATGCCTAGTCACCACTTTTTTTCACCGCATCTTTATCATGGTTATGATGAACCACATGTGTCGAATAGCAGACGCTCCCACGGTCACACTGTATGAGACACATACAAATGTTTGGGCGGGGCCACTTCTCTATTTGCATGCAAGACTCGTTATATTAAAATGATGGCATCCACCGCATGTCGCATTTTCGATTCGTTAAAGACGCGGCATGCATTTTTACCTTTAGTTGCTGCCAAACGATTGCCTCGTTTACAGACTTAGGGTCGTGTTCATTGTCCTGAAGATACATAATTTAAAAACAGTAATGATTTTTTCTGAGACAGTATAACAAGTTTTTTTGCTGTTTTTGGCATTCGCTCATATGAACTAGCTACCACTGTATGAATATTGCACGCTACTTGTTGCGTCAAGCCAATCAAAAGCGAATGGTCTTTGTCGTCATGTCACATGACGCCACTTCCCATAACAAAAATAGCCGATGTGTGTCGCCATTGTTTGAAGGGAACGTTGCTTGTCCCGTGAATTAAAATTATAGCAGCGTCAATTTGGGCGTTGCCGCTTGCACAACGATATCTATGTATTACATAGCATGGATGTCGTGCTGTACAGCACGATATCGAATTTGAGTACGATATTAAGAATACATGCTCAAATTCTGTCGCAGGGCCCCTTTAAAGTTTAAAAAAAATGTGAGGAAAATGCGAATAAGGTTGATTTGTTAACACGGGCTTAAACTACCGGGCTTGGTGATACAAGCATACTCTGGTGTTACCATAAAAGTTAGTTGTTTAGAGATTCGTCACTCGGCATTGTCATAGTTTGTGCTGCTGTAGCTTGCACCATTGTAATGTGCACATGTGCTGTTGTGAGTGAGAGTTTTTGTAATTGTGTGCACTAAGCTTCCGTTCTGATTGCAGGTACATGGCTGGGCATTGAGTGGGACGACCCATATCGTGGCAAGCACAATGGCTGTCACAAGGACGTCCAGTACTTCATCACGAGGTGAGCTGATACATTCTATTGAATGACATTGCAACTCCTGCTCATAACATATAGACTCTCGGTGTATACATAATTGTGCACGAAAGCACTTTGTTTTACTAGTGTTGTCCATGCATTAAACATTTTAACTGCTAAGATCATATTGCCGCATGAATTCGCGTGGTTTTCGTGTGGAAGAGGACGAAGAGGTTGGGTTGGAGCAGTTTTTCTTTTGGTCCTAGCTTGACGAGCAGTTCTGCGGAAGGTTTCCTTGAGTGAGACAAGATTGGTGACGAAGAGGTTGGGTTGGAGCAGTTTTTCTTTTGGTCCTAGCTTGACGAGCAGTTCTGCGGAAGGTTTCCTTGAGTGAGACAAGATTGGTGACAAGATTGGTGGAGGTGCTGGGTACGACAACTGACGACGCACCCCATGCACAAGAGCCCATCCAGGAGCCGGAACACAAGCCCTGTGCCCGTGGACACGCCAGTTCACAGAACAAGCCGCCGCCAACGAGGCCTACCACCAGAGACACCGGCACAGCTTATCCATAGAGCGACTATGACTTCGCCTCAAGGCGTCATGGAAACTCCTACGTCGTCGGCACCAATTTATTGCACTGTCCAGAACCCGCTGATGCCTAGTCCCTTTCACGGAGAGCTGTTTGAGGATGTGGACGACTGGCTGAGCGAGTTCGAACACGTCGCAGCGATCAACTACTGGGACGAAGCCGCCAAACTCCGCAACGTCTACGCGTGTTTGAAAGACGGCGCCCGAACGTGGTTCATGAACAGAAGTGATGTCTTGACATCCTGGCGCGAGTTCCAGCATCGCCTCTTGGAGACCTACCGGAGCCCCGACCGCCGCGATCGTGCTGAACGTGCATTGCATTCACGCATCCAGATGCCTAATGAGACCGTCACCATGTACGTGGAGGACATGACGCAGCTTTTCAGGCGAGCGGATCCGGCAATGCCAGAAGAAAAAAAGCTACGCTATCTGATGCGAGGCGTGAAGGAGCAGCTTTTTGCTGGTCTAGTGCGGAGTCCTCCGAAGAGTGTAGCAGAATTCCTGACCGAAGCCACTACGATGGAGAGGGTACTTCATCAGCGGTCAGCCCTACTCAACCGGCAAGTGAATTCTGCATCACCTACTGAATTTTCCGCCAGCTTCGGGAGCAACAGCATTGAGTGGATTCGCGAAATCGTCCGCTCCGTCGTCCGCGAGGAAATCGCGAAACTACACGGGGCGAGACAGCCGGAGGTAAGCAGCATCACCAATATTATTCGGGACGAGGTCCAGCAGGTGCTTCACAGCCGTCGCCCTCAACCAACGGTTACAAATCTAGAACCACCTCCTGCGTCCACTGATGTTGGGAACCGCACATATGCCGAAGCTCTGCGCACTTCCATGCCGGTCTCAAGCCCTGCAGTCCCAATCCAGACGATGCCGCCAGTTTCAATTCAATCTGCGCATGCTGGTTTGGACATCGACGGTCGCCGTGCCCCTCCGCGGAAGTCCGATATTTGGCGTACGTCGGATAGAAGACCCCTCTGCTTCCATTGCGGTGAAGCCGGTCACATCTACCGGGAATGTCCATACCGACAACTTGGACTGCGCGGTTTCTCTATTCATTCGCCCCGTCCCCTAGTTGGTCAGAGGCCAAGAGAAATTGAGGACTACCTCGCGCAGCAACGTCTGCCTTTCCCACGGCGTCAATCGCGGTCTCCATCTCCACGACGACCCGCAGCTATTGGACCACGTCTCAGTACGATGGCACGGGGACGTTCCCCAAGCCCTCGTCGGGAAAACTGAAGGCAGCGACCTTCGGGGGCGAGGTCGCTGGGACTAAAAGTGCGGAAGACCTCCTATCGACGCTTCCACAAAACGCTGCAGACATTGAATTGACGTCTGAGTGCAGTGCGAGAGAAATGCCGGATTGTGCGTCTGAACCCAGTGGCCGAGTCTCACTCGACATTCCCGTGCTGATAGACGGTCTTCAGGTCAGTGCATTGGTGGACACAGGTGCAGATTATTCTATTATGAGCGGAAAATTGGCAACCAGTCTTAAGAAAGTGATGACACCTTGGAATGGGACGCGTATTCGCACTGCTGGAGGCCACGTTATTACTCCATTGGGTCGCTGTACCGCAAGAGTGGAAATACGCGAGTCAACGTTTGTGGTAACCTGCCTCGTACTACGCGACTGTTCTCGTCAGCTCATCCTTGGAATGGACTTCCTTCGAGAGAATGGCGCGATCATAAATCTCCGCGAGCGAATGGTGACTTTCTCGACGCAACTTGCAACCGATCGAGGCGCTGATAGCTGTCGTAGACCTGCGCTGCGTGTTGCCGACGAAAGCGTGACGTTGCCTCCCCGAGCGACTGCTTTCGTAGAAGTCACCTGTGAAGACCTCCAAGACGGTGACGTGGTCGCCGAGAGCAACGTATCCCTTTTACTGCTTCAAGGTGTGTGTGCAGTGCGAAGCATTCTGCGTGTGCGTGACGGACGGTCGCAGATACTCGTCACAAATTTTAACTTCGAGCACCGACATCTTTTCCGCGGCACCACCGTGGCCTTCGGAGACCGTGTAGCGGATGTCACCGAGTGCTTCGCATCCGAGGAAATGGTTGATGGAGATAAGTTTCTGGACCACATCGACGTTAGTTCGAAGCTTTCGGACGAGAAGAAGGCCGCACTGCATACCCTGCTGAAGGAATTTAAATCTTGCTTCGCCTCTTCATCTAGAGTCGGTCAAACACCCCTCATAAAGCACCGAATTATTACCGACGATGATGTTCGCCCAATCCGCCAGCAACCTTACCGTGTTTCGGCTAAAGAACGCGAGACTATACAGACGCAGGTAAAGGAGATGCTTGACGACGGGGTGATACAACCGTCGAGCAGCCCGTGGTCCTCGCCAGTCGTTCTAGTAAAGAAGAAAGACGGAACGCTGCGATTCTGTGTTGACTACAGGAAACTCAATAGCGTCACCAAAAAAGACGTCTACCCGCTTCCACGGGTTGATGATTCTCTCGACAGGCTACGACACGCGAAGTATTTTTCATCGATAGATTTGAAGAGCGGCTATTGGCAGATAGAGGTCGATGAGCGAGACAGAGAGAAGACAGCGTTTGTAACTCCCGATGGGCTTTATGAATTCAGAGTTCTTCCTTTCGGCCTCTGTTCGGCTCCCGCAACATTCCAGCGAATGATGGATACCGTCCTCGCTGGCTTGAAGTGGCAAAGCTGCCTTGTATACCTTGATGATGTGGTCATCTTTGCCGAGAGTTTCGAAGAACATCTGAAGCGTCTAAGAATGGTTCTGGAAGCTATTCGTTCGGCCGAACTCACGCTAAAACCCCAGAAGTGCCATTTCGGCTACGATGAGCTGAAATTTCTGGGACATGTTGTGAGTGCGGATGGAGTGCGGCCTGACCCAGAAAAACTGCAGCAGTCGCCACCTTTCCTGTGCCGTCAGACAAAAAAGCGGTACGGCGTTTTCTCGGCTTGTGTGCTTATTATCGCCGATTCATTACCAACTTCTCGACGATAGCCGAACCGCTCACGCGACTCACCCGAGATGATGTACCGTTTGCCTGGACTACAGAGCAAGAAGCAGCTTTCACAGAGTTACGGCAGCGAATGCAAGAGGCACCTGTTCTTGCGCATTTTGATGAGGACGCTGATACCGAAGTTCACACGGATGCAAGCAACGTCGGACTTGGCGCTGTCCTTGTACAACGGCACAACGGCGTAGAACATGTCATAGCTTACGCCAGTCGTACTCTCTCTCGAGCCGAGGCCAACTACTCCACTTCAGAGAAGGAATGCCTCGCAGTCGTGTGGGCAACGGCAAAGTTTCGACCTTACCTCTACGGCCGTCCCTTCAAGGTGGTGACCGATCACCATTCGCTGTGTTGGCTGGCCAATCTCCGTGACCCGTCTGGTCGTCTCGCTCGGTGGAGTTTGCGCTTGCAAGAGTTTGACATCATGATTGTGTATAGGTCTGGGCGCAAGCACGAAGATGCCGACGCACTTTCTCGAGCACCCGTGGGACATCCTGATATGGACTCGGAATATGCTGATGGTTTTCTCGGAGCCCTCAGTGATTCTGACTTTATGTCTAGACAGAGAGCCGATCAGGAATTGCGCCCTATTATTGATTCCTTAGAAGGCCGAAATTCTCACACTCCTCGGCGCATCGCTCGCGAATTGTCATCCTTTTGTCTAAGGAGGGGCATTCTTTACAAGAAAAATGCTCGAGGTAGCAACAAAGCCTTCCTCCTCGTTGTACCAGCCGACATGCGGGATGACATCCTCCTCGCGTGCCATGACGAGCCCACGTCGGGACACTTGGGCTACTCGCGGACTCTCGCCAGAGTGCGCCAGCAGTACTATTGGCCACGACTTTCGACCAGTGTACACCGCTACGTGCAAGGCTGCCGCGAGTGCCAGCGTCGCAAGACGCCACCCGTGAAACCTGCGGGCCTTCTCCACCCTATTACACCACCACGGACACCTTTCGACCTCGTGGGAATGGACCTTCTAGGACCCTTCCCTTTATCGGCCACTGGTAACAAATGGATTATAGTGGCAACCGATTACTTGACCCGGTATGCTGAGACAAAGGCATTACCCCGCGGCACGGCGTCTGAAGTGGCGAAGTTCTTCGTGCAGCACATCGTCCTCCGGCACGGCGCGCCGTCATGTGTGATTACGGATAGAGGAACATCATTTACGGCACAAATGCTAGAGGACATTTTCAGACTGAGCTGCACGAGTCACCGAAAAACAACGGCTTACCACCCACAAAGTAATGGACTGACGGAAAGGCTCAACAAGACCATAGCGGACATGCTGTCAATGTACGTGGACGTGCAGCACAAAACCTGGGACGATATCCTCCCATACGTCACGTTCGCATACAATACGGCAATGCAGGAAACAACCCGATTTTCACCTTTCCACCTTGTTTATGGACGCAACGTACAAACGATGCTTGACGCTATGCTGCCGTACGATAATAGCGATGCTCTTTCTCCAGAAGCCGAGCAATACACGCAGTACGCCGAAGAGGCTCGTCAACTGGCTCGCGTGAACATCGGTCACCAACAAGACGCAGATGCACGACGTTACAACCTTCGCCGTCGAAACGTCGCATACCACCCGGGTGAACGAGTGTGGGTGTGGACTCCTGTCCGACGACCAGGCTTGTCTGAAAAGCTTCTGAGCCGTTATTTCGGACCATACAAGGTTATCCGACGTGTGAGTGACCTTACATACGAAGTACTTCCGGACGGCACAGTGTCGTCACGTCGACAACATCGGCCCGAAACTGTGCATGTCGTACGACTCAAGCCGTACTACACACAATAGTCTCTGTGCTTGCGAGTTACTTCGCAAACGTGACAGTGATCTCATGTGGTGTTTTTTTTTTTCTTGACTCTTCCACTGGTGCTGTCGTGTTCGCGCATGGTCCAAGTGCTTGTGCGCCCTCTTTGTTTTCCCTGGCACTCACTTTGTCATTCTCTGCGTCAACGCGTGTTCTAATTATGGGTTTTTTTTTTCTTCTTCTCTTTATTTAGAAGCATCGAGTCGATGCTTTTTAAAAGGGGGGACTAATGCCGCATGAATTCGCGTGGTTTTCGTGTGGAAGAGGACGAAGAGGTTGGGATTGAGCCGCTTTTTAATGCCGCATGAATTCGCGTGGTTTTCGTGTGGAAGAGGACGAAGAGGTTGGGTTGGAGCAGTTTTTCTTTTGGTCCTAGCTTGACGAGCAGTTCTGCGGAAGGTTTCCTTGAGTGAGACAAGATTGGTGACAATATGATGACGGCTTTGGCAAAAATCAAGGATGGCATTGTTTATAATGAAAAGAACTTGGCTGCCATACGAATGTTGAGTCGCACGAAGCTGCTATGAACACAAGCAATGTTTACCCAATTCTTTATAACTTCTTGGCATGGTAATTTGTGGAGCAGCGCTAGGTAAACTATAAATGTCGCTATTTACTATGGCTTCACCAGTACACGATTTTGTGTGTCCTGTCAGGTATGATGACACTCTCTTGATTAACCTTTTATTGTTTTTCTACATATTTCAGCTGTGCTAATATTGCTGGAAAAATCTGCATGTGTGACCACTTGTCATTTTCTGTTTTTTGCCATGCACTAGCTTCATAAGAGTTTAGACCCAAGGTTTCTTGTATGTTCCGTACAGATCTCTTCAAATGTTGAAACGATAATTGTTTTATATTGATTTATTGATTGTCACAGCGAAATGCGGTGAATACAAATACAACAGTGAAACAAACCTGGTGTCTGTGGACCTGGCACATCGTTTCATTGGCTGTAGAGACCAAGAGTGTATGTTTGTACTTCAATATAAATAACTAATTATCGAGTGTAGTAAAGCAGATAAAGAAGATAAAGTGAAATGTTGAATGTTTATGATGAATATCGCTTGTAATGAAATTGTGTTTATGTGGGATAATGTTTATTACAATAAAGATTAACTGTACACATGTTCTATATTGTAAACTAAACCCGAGAAGAAAACTTTTCAATTCTTCAGTTCATATTTGCCTTGGTTGATGATACAGTGTGGGAACGGGAAGCATTTTTTGTCGTTAAGCGCTCTCTAATCAGCTTCCCGTCTGGTTGCAGGTCAGAGACAGGTGGTTCATTCATTCGCCCACAGAAGGTAGAGAAGACGCTGAGCATCGCGGATGCCGTGCGCAATAAGTACTTCTCGTCCCTGTCCGACCTCGAGGCACCCTGCCTGAGCGAGGACAAGGACGTGCTGCTCCTGGAGTTTACGGCCCAAACGAACGGTTCAGTTTGTTGGGCCTGAGAAGATCACCGCCATACTCAGGTGCGTGCATCAAGGAAGAGGCGTGGCACCAAGATATATTACACAAAAATATGTTTGTAATATCAAAATTCACTATAAAGGTATATTTGTAACATTGTATCTATTGCAAGACTATTCTTTATTGACTTCGTTATAATTGATATTTTGTTATATCTGGATTCGTGATCTCGAGGTTTGAGTCTAGTTTAGGGAGAGTTTAGCTCTGGTTATGAACAGTGTTCGTGACTTAGGAAATCAGCATCAAATAGTGTGAGAAGACGCAAGGAAGATGACAGGACAGGCATGCAGCCAACAACTGTAAAGTTCTTGTCGAAGAATAAAATGTCACAGACTAAATGGCATGACAACTTGTTGAAGCGCATTTCATTTTAAAGCAGTTTACAGCTGTGCACTCTAAGAAAAAAATATGGAGTATTCGGGGAATAGTTCTGCTGCACAAGAATAATCGTCATCTCACTTGTTCGCGTTTCTTTTCTTGAAAACCGGCGCTGGCCACTTTCCTGTCAAGAATGCCATGTAACACTGATAACTCACTCACCGTTCGCGACTGCGATCTAACGCGGGTTTAGTGTGTAGCAAGACCATTCATTGCCTTACACAAGACCAAGACAGGCCACCTAAATGTAGACGTCTGAAATTATTCGTTTCCTTCGTGAGCACCTGTTTCCACTGCCAATGTGAAATGACAATTGTTATTCAGTTCTTCAGTTATGTGCTTGTTTAGCCGCCTTCTCTGTCTCGTCTTTTATGGTGATTTTCTTTGTCATGGATTGCCGACCAACCCAGAAGTTTATTTTTTAAAGTCACAGTTTTCTGAATTTCAGATTAATACAGTCGAATCTCGACAATTCGAACTCGAAGGGGCCCAAAATTTGTTCGAATTAAAAGAAGTTCGAATCAATGAAAGCTAAATAAACCGAGGGCTCTCCATGCAATGGCACATGTGCCTTGAGCTAACGCACGAGGGGGAAGTTTCAGAAGACTTACATTTATTCACTATTCACAGGACATCTGATATTAATTGGAGTATTCGGTGATGCACAATCTGCACACGTTTGACTTGCAGCAAGTCAATCAATTCTGCACGCAGCTTGCAAAGCATTTCTACTTCGGCTTCAGCATTCTTCCTGGCAAAAGAAGTTGCACGCAGAAATGTCCAGCGCCGATACTTTCTAAAGACGACGACAACAATGACTGTGTAGTCTCTCCCTACGCAGCCGGTAGCATGGCCAGCAAGTGATGAGAAAGGAGGAGCGTCTCCACGCGGAGAGAAGCAGATCGGCATTTGAGAAAAAACCAACACTCCACTGCAGCTTTTTTTTTTTTTGCTCTCTTCGCGCACGTCATTGAAAGGAGAAGGGTTACGTGGCAGGGACGGGAAAGGGGGAAGCGTGGCACCGGCGCGTGAGAGACCCCTCCCTCAAGGCGCAGAGCCATGCTCCCGCAATGGGCAAGGGCTGCAAAAGATAGTGCCTTTTCCCTTTCCTTCAACCACACATTCATTCAACCCAGCAACAGCTTTTTTTTTTTTCTCCCTCGCTTCGTGCGCGGCGTTGAAAGGAGAAGGGTCTTTATGTGACAGGGACAGAAAAGAGAGAAGTGAGACACGGGCACATCGCAGATCGGCATTTGAGAGAGAGCAAACATTCCACCGCAGCCTTTTCTTTCTTTTTCATTTCCTTCGCACGCAACGTTGAGGTGTCGCAGGTGCCGCCGTGGAATTGGGCATGGTGCTGAGAGCATTTTTGAAACACGTTATGTTCGAATTAACCGCCGCAAGTGCTCGCGCGTTCGAATTACCGGCCGTTTTCGCTCATCGGAATACACATAGTCTTGACGGGTCCTTATCATGAGTTTGAATTAACCGGTAGTTCGAATTAAGCTTGTTCGAATTATGAGATTCGACTGTACTAAATATCCACGTGAGCCATTGACTGTCAAGCCTGCAAGCTCTGCTGCACTTGAAAAATTACAGTCAATACTGCATTGTGGCACGGTCTTCAAAGAAGTGCCCTAAGTCATAATAAGTATAGGTAGTATATGACTGATCTAGCATTCTGTTGCTCTTCACATGCGTGTTGAAGATTTTTATCGCACCTTAAAAGGAAGCCTACATATTAGTAGAACCTCATTCTTGCATATTTGAAGAAAGTGCAGAGAAAAAAAGAAGTAATATTTTGAAATATGTACAGTCGCATTTCCCTAAAGTGTCGTACAGTTTTGCTTGACAATGATGTTGCGAACGCTGGCACCGGGAAATCTTACTCAACGGGAACGTATGAACGAGGTTCTAGCGTACAGAGAAGATGGGCCGGCGAGACTAGGTACCGGCACCTTTTCGTGTTATATCTGCTCTGTGAATTTATACCAGGACAGCTTGGTAATATTGTCTTTCTTGTAATGTGTAATGTGTGTAATGTGTGTAATGGCTTCGCTTCAGCCGTGGCGAGACAATCCGCGAGGTGACCCTGGCGAGCATTCCTATCGACCGGCCTGGCAATGAGGGCGAGCTGGCGAGCCTGGTGCCAAAGTTGCAGAGCCTGGTGCTCACACACACCCTGTTGTCGTCGTGGGAACAGGTGGCACAGATCACCCGTCAGCTGCCGCATTTGTCGGCGCTGCACCTCAGGTTGGTGTCCACAGCTTTGTTTTGGTACTGACAGTAGCCTAGCAACTTCATTACACCGACTCACTGATCACTCAGGATTTGACAGAGATTGCCTAAGTTGAAGGATTGGACAGTAAGGAGTCCACGACTGTTATTAGATTCACCACAGTATAACTTGTTTTTCTTTTTTTTTCACAAGTAACCTAAAAATAGTGTCAGTGTGTTACTGTGCATACGTGTGTTTGCCTGAAACATAGTCAGCTTGTGCTTCAACAATTATTCTGTTGTTTTTTATTTCTATACAAAAGTAACGTCATTGCCCAATTGAACAGAAGTCACCCACTGTTTGAGAGCTGAATGATTCAAAATTTATTTGCAGCAGTCTTTTCTTTGTGACATCCTGGCTCATCGAAAGGATGTTTGTTACACTACAGTTGAAGGCATAGGGTTCTTTTCATCAGGTGTCTAAGTTGCCTCATTTTTAGGGTACCAGTTGGCACCGTTGGGCTAAGTTTTAGCTCTCTCTTGCAGCAAGAATATACTGGAAATACCGAAGGATCCTGCTGCGCTTCGGGACAGCTTCCGGTCTATTCGGCAGATGGTCCTTCGAGGTGTGGGCTACAGCTGGGACCAAGTGGGTAGCTCTATTTTTATTTTACTGCAATGGAGTTATATGTGAATGTAATGTGCGAGCAATCCTCGGGGCAACTGCATGTCTGGCAGTTGTGGTTGCAATTCCTAGCCTTGTCACACTAGAAGTTGCACTGCATTCAAAGGCAGCCCAAACCTGCCACTGCTGTAGCAAGCTGCACATGGAGGAGCTGTTTTGCTTTTATTAACAGTTATATAGACACTCGAGGCACATTTTTGCTGCCGTCGCTGTCGCCGTCATGCTCCATATTCAGTCCAAATCAATAGCAAACCCACGTGTGTCGTATGTTCCGTGTGCATGTGAGAGCTTGCAAAAGTTGCAGAATGCTCAAGCAAAAATGAAATGAGAGTGGGAAGGGGTGGAAGGGAAGGGGTAGAAGGGAAAGGGCTGTGTTGCTCAGGCAGCTATTTTAAGTTTAGATTTGCGGTACTAATATTCTACTAATCTCTACAGAGATTAGTAGAAAACTCATACCTTTGTACATGCTGTGTTCTCACAGCTTTCTTTGCATTGAGGTGAGAGACAGCACAAAAACTCGCTGGAGTGTCTTCACTCGCTGGAGTGGTCGTATGTACTTACAGTGTGCCGTAGAGTAGCACCAGATCAGATCCTAAAGGAGTTAGCTGCTAGCGTCACTTCGTATAACATTCCATTTTCTTGCTACCCGATTGACTGCTCCGGTGAAACTGTGACTTTTTTTAGTTACTTGCAAGTGCTCACGTTGTACCCAACTTCAGTCGTGCTGTTTTCTGCACCACATCAAGCAACAGTGCCTACTAAGCTGTGTCATTGCGATGCCATGTTTCTTAGTTGCTGGCAAAAGCAGCACCACATGCTTCTTTTGCCAGTGTCATGGTTGGAACCATCCTTTCGCTCACCAACACGTGCTGGCTAGCAAGAAAAAAATGTGTAGTGCAGGGTGCTGGACATTATCCAGCAACTTGGTCAACAACATAGCAGTGCGTTCTTGTGTCTTCTCATCTCTTGCACCATTTCCTTCCGTCTTAAAGGGGCCATGGCACCAATCCTCCATCGTAATCTGCGTAATCTGGCTTTATTCTTGTAGTGTACATGTATCACGAAGGAGTACAGCCACTGGCGTGGGTCCGGTCTTAGCGAGCCACAGGGCACGCGTTAACCACCGCTGTGGCGAGAACATGACACTGCTCAACGTCGCAACACTTTATTGTGTGCGGCAACACCAAAATGCAGTACAGAGCTCGTTGCAAAAGGCGCGGCGGGAAAGCAGATGGGCTTATCCACGCCACGGGCGAGAAGTACTACACAGGGGGGCCGCAAGCACGTCTCCGTGGGCAAAAGTGATTCACGGTGACACCGGAACAAAAGGCCCGGTTGCTCGAGCGACGGCAAAGGCGCTCACGTTGGCTTCAGAGAGATATGGGTCGGCGCAGTTTGACCACGCGCTAAGACACTGCACCGCTCTTCGGCCTAGCGTTCGCAAGGGGCAACAAAAGGTGAGCGTTCGCCGCGGGTGGGAGGCGCCGTTGGCAAAGCCCGACAAGTCCCAAACAATAGGAGTCGACGGACAGAAAAGAAATACGTGCTCGCCCTCAGTTGTCCCGGAGAAATTCTCTTTCGCTCCCGACGCACTCGCAAAATGTCCCGAGAGATTCTGCGTGCGGCGCCACAGTCGACATCCGCTACCGGGTGAGAGGGCTTATTATGTCACTCCCCACTGCCGCAGTGCGGAAGACCGCTGAGGAGAGGAGAGTCATGTTAGGATATGAAAGCGCAAAAAGAGGCGGCAAAGACTGCGCAAAGGCGGCAGGCTAGCCTCAATTCCCACATCCCCCTCTCCTAAATTTGCCCTTCACCGGTCAGCAAAGGCAGCCAGACGTCATCCATGCAGTTAAAATGGCACTGCTATGAGCAACAGCTAACCTCAGTTCAGCCCTATAAACTGCTGCTAAAAAAATGATGACAAGGAGAAAACATCAATAACAAAATAAACACGTGACAGTATAATATATTTGTGAAAAAAAGAAAGAGCAAAGGAAGTAAGGCTAGAGTTCGTGGTGCTGAGGCGGAATAGCTGCCACCGTGCGGAGGGGCAGAAGTGCGTGATAATGTCCGCTGGGTGCGATGCCCGTGTGCGAGGTCAGAGGCATGGAAGGGGCTCACTAATAGCTCATGGCTGCTCTTGATGATTGGCCAGCGTGTCCGACGAACACCGCTTCGGTGGTGGTTCGGAGGTCCCGCATTTCTCGATGAATCACGGGGAAACCTCACTGGGAAGCCGGGCCTCTCCAGGGATCAGGGAGGCTCAACCGAAATTGGCTGCGAGGCGCCCTGGCGTTAGCCGGCAGCATATCACTGCTGTCAGCTGGCCTTGTGCCAAGGTGGAAGGGGCAGCAGGCCTTCTCGGCGACGGCCGAGAGCAGAGCACAGCTGGACTTTCTGACATCAGCAGGTTTGGGCCCCGAGCACCTCTAGTGTCCACGTCAATGGGATGAAACCACGACACACACTCTTTCCGGGCACGCCCAGAAGCATCATGCACATACACATGCACATAAGCACACACACACCGCCAACGGGTGCGCGAGCAAAGGCACAAAGCGTTCTTCGCCCCTCTCTCCACGCATAAGCACGAACGTTGAAGGTCACAACTCCCTTTGCCGGTAGACAAAATAAACACTCAAGAAAAAGTGAAGCAGAGCAAAAATTACACTCAATATCTGGCCAAAAGAAAATAAAAACATAAAATATAAATTAACCCTTCATATTAGACAAAAGAACATAAAACGTGAAACACTCATGAACACTTAAATAAAAAAAAGAAAACTTGGCAGCGAACCGGGCGGGGTTGACTTCTTTACGAGAACAGGCCGTAAAGAAGCTAAGCATACTGAGGCTAGACAGTAAACTGAGGGCCTTGAGTTGCGGAGAAGTGCGCCGTCCCGCACGCAATCACGAAGGTGTTCGCTTCCTCAGATGATACTGGTGCAACGTCCGAATGCAGTCCTCTGCTCCAGGTGTGCCTCGTTGCTTGCACGAAGTGCCGCTGGGCGCTGGCACGAGCTTGTCAGACCGTGACAAGGGGCTTCAGGTCTGTGATGTGGGCACGGCTGAGTTTTCCCATAAAGGGGGTCTTTCAGCAAGAACGCGCCACGGACCCTCACTGACAAGACCGGGCGGCTTGCCAACCCTTGGTTCCACCGTTTGCCAGACGTGGCAGGCACGGAATAGCGATAAATTTCACGCTTCGTGCCGGGCCAGGTCACAACATTGCTCAGTTTGTGAAAACTTTTGAGCCACTCAGGTGACCCGCCTTGAGTTCAACGTGAGAGGATCGCAACAGTGTGGCTCTCGGACTTTTTTGGGCATAGCCACCTTAAACGAATCCACAGACTTCTCGCCGGTGGCTATATAGTTCAGCAGGAGCCCGTCATGGTCCAGCAAAATGAATCCGCTGGGGATTCGGCGACACACGCTGTTTCCTGCCCCCCTATCTGCGCCCGCTGCAGAGCAAGCAGCGTAACAGCGCTACGTCTGTTCGAGACAGTTGTTATCGCGCAACGCCGCAGAGCAAGCAGCGTATACGGCGCTCTGTCTTTATGGCACTCGAAACTGATCACTTTGCTGAGCCTTCAGTAGCTCTTTGCTGCCGAAAGTGATTCCCATTTCCCCAAGGGGTGGAGTCTGGTATCACACCCACTCAGGACCGCAGCAATCGCCGCGTGCATGGTGTCACGGGTTCGTTGTCGGCACTGTGGCATTCGGAAAGCTTCTCCACTCGTCTGCTATGTGGTGCGCCGCTTACCTGGATAGCAGCCAAGGTCATCCGCATGGGGATTCCCCTTTTAAAGACGATAGTCTTTCTTAGGGACCTCCAACAGAAAAATTTGGTCTGTCTGTCTGTCTGTTTGTACATTTGTCTGTTTGTTCGCCCTTACCAATGCCTCAAACGGCACCAAACGGCCAACCCCATCCGCAGCACCCACTAATATTGCTCAAGATTCAGCGTTCATACTTGTGCGATTGTCAATTAAAAAGTAATTCTTGCGCATATCTGAGGCACCATAACACGTCGATGTTTTGTATGTGTGCCTTTATACTATAGAAGGCACACACAAGTAATTCTAAGAACCGTAGTGTTCATCACGCTGCACTGACAGTGCAATGCGATGCTCAATAAGGTAAGTGCTTCCAACGCTTTGCTAAGATGACACGGTGGTTGCACCTGCCCGTCGCTTAGCATTCTACACCTTATCACCTCCGATACTAAGCGCATCTTTCTCCGTGGGCAAGCAGACCTTCTTTCGTTTTTAAACTTCCAGATGGCACTCTTGTCTAACGTGCCTCGATGTGCTCGCTCGCCTCCGCTTGACGCTCGAGGTACTAACGCAGCGCCTCCAGAATACCATTCACAAATTTTCTTGCGCAGAACATCAAATAAACGTTTTGTTCACTCTCTCCAGACGCAGGACTATTGTCTTTCGACGACATATGCAGTGTAGCATGCAGATTCGGGGCCATTTTATTGCTACTGTTTCGCCTCCGACGCTTGCATGTGCGAGGGCACTGCGAGCGGCTGTTGCACCGGGATCAAGGTTGTCGGCAGACAACAGAGGGCACAAGATAGCACGTCAGCTACCGCGTTGTTTGTATGTTCACCACAACAGGGGGTGAGGACACGAATGGGTGCAAAAGAGGTGCCCGTCAATAGAGGCAATGGCCTCTTTGTGCAGCGTGGCATCCGCCTAAAAAGGTCAGCGGACAAAAATGCCACGAAGAAGGCACGTTGCGACAAGTCCGAATTGCGCAGGCGAACTGACCCACCAAGAGCAGTCAAAAGCTTAGAGCTTTTGATACCGCGTTGGGCATCAGTGTAGTGTACACGTATCCCGAAGGAGTACGGTCACTAGCGTGGGTCTGGTCTTGGCGAGGCATAAGGAACCCTTCATGAATAGTTTTTGCTGAAAACTACAAATTGTTGGTTGAGTGTCTTGTGGCCCCTGTAAAGAGGCCCTACGACGCTTTTACGTCTGCATTCCGCACTGTTGGAGTTTCATTACAGTTTCTTTGTAGAAATATAATTATAACAGCTTTGTTTATGGCCAACCGTGGAGCAATATCGGTGTATTTCACAGTTCAAGAAAAAGTGATGAAAACGGCACGCTTGATCTGTATTGCAGGACCCCTTTAATTTCTTGATAAATCGCTATTGAAAGGCTGCAGTGCTAAACAAACTATGACAGCGTTCATCTCGTGATTTATTGTCATGTGTGTTTGCTATTTAGTAAGCATGGGCAAATGTGTGAGTGCTTTGAACATTTGAACAAATATTACAGCATTTTAAATTTGCCTTCACGCGAGCATAAATCATTTGAAGTTTCAAACTATTTGGAATACACATGTCAACTACGTGTAACCCTCTAAAAAGATGGTTTCACTGCAGTGCGGGGCTGCCGTGTCGTGAAACCACACTTGTCAGTTGTCAGTGCTAAGCTGCACCTTGCCTAATACTTTTTTTGAAATTTTAAAAGCATGTTATAGAAGCTTATATGCACTAAGTGTAGGAAATTTTAAGGGGGCAGACTGGTCTTAGACATTTTTTTGTTTATTTCTTCAGTGATCTTGATCGAACTGCACAGGATTTTGGGGTTTTTCTACTTATTTCAAATATTTAATTAGTTTTTTTGTAACTCATCTTGTTTGTGAGATAACTTAAGTTCACCCTCTCTTTTTGAGGCCGCCATAGAAAAAAAATGCTTAATGAAAAGTGATATTTAAAATATGTCAACATAGACTTATGACTAGAGATTGAAAAAATGCAAGAGTTTTTTTTTGTTGTTTTTAGGCCTTACTAGGTTATTTTACAGCAAAATGAATTGTCAATTTTCAGAAGCAGTTGGAATTATGCTACAATTTCGATGAGTAATTAATTTAGAAGGCTTGTGCTCTAAACTCTGCTCCGATACTTGCACTCTACACACATACAGGTTTCCATTGCAAAAAGAATTATTGTTGAACCTGCCCTAGCTGCAGAGATATTGACGCCTCAAAACTGAATAGTCGTAAATTTAGTTTCTTTAGAAAAATGGAAAAACCAAAGGAAAACACTTATGCAGCTTCTTCAAAAAGCAACAATCATGGTGCGCATGTTTTGCAATCCTCTTAAAGGTGCTCATAAATTCGTAGCAGAGCTTCTAACACAGGTGGCAAATTATAAAGAAGCCTCGAAGTCTGTTCGCCATTTTTTTGCAGGTTCTGCATGTTAACATCCCCAAGAATCTGGACAGTCAGAATGACATTACAAAAAAATTACCACTACCATTTTTTATTATGCAGGTTCTGCATGTTAACAGCCCCAAGAATCTGGCCAGTCAGAATGACATAAAAAAAAAAATTACCACTACCTGGCGTGTGAAAATTTGCAGAGAGATAGAAAAATACTTGCAGAAACCAAATATGCCAATTTTAAAAATGATTTTTTTTTTGTCCCTTTTTTGGCCCCAAAGACCAGTCTGCCCCCTTAAGACATCATGTACTTCACTACTTGTAACTTGCACCCTATTTTATTCAAATGTAGCTACTGTTCAAGGTTGCTTCCGATTCACTAGCAGCCAAAAAAAAAAAAAAAGACATTTGCACGTGCCTATATTTGCCCCGCCGTGGTGGTCTAGTGGCTAAGGTACTCGGCTGCTGACCCGCAGGTCGCGGGTTCAAATCCCGGCTGCGGCGGCTGCATTTCCGATGGAGGCGGAAATGTCGAGGCCCGTGTGCTCAGATTTGGGTGCACGTTAAAGAACCCCAGGTGGTCAAAATTTCCGGAGCCCTCCACTACGGCGTCTCTCATAATCATATGGTGGTTTTGGGACGTTAAACCCCACAAATCAATCAATCAATCAATCAACATGCCTATATTTTCTAGTTCCCAAAGATATTATGTCAGTTAGTTGGGTTGTGACAGAAATGCTAATTATTTTTTCTGCATAATATACTCGAACAGTGCAGTTCTGAATTATTCGGTCCAATTCAATTTGCTCTGGACCTCAAGTTTAGTGCACTCGAACCTCAATATAATGAATCGGTATATAATGAAACATTGGTTATAATGAAGTAGATGAACAGTCTTGCAATAGACATAGCGTTAATAATATACCTTCATAACGAATTTTCTGATATAAGGAACTTATTTTTGTGCAAGATGCAGCTTTGTTATAATGAGGTGTGAGTGTATTAGCACTGCAGCCTTTCAGTAACGGATCGCGACCTACTCTCCCAACTTCTAGAGCTCGGCATGGCTCCCCGTGCTGTTTTTGCAGGCCCTACAGTGTGCAGAGATGTGGCCCTGGGTCGAGGACCTGGTTCTGTCGCTAAACGGCATCAGCGTCCTGCGGCAGCCGCCCGACACGCTATTTCAACAGCTGGAGTGCCTGTCCCTACAGGACAACCCCATTTCCTCGTGGGAGACCGTCTGCCACTTGGGACACTTGCCGAGGTGAGCTGCCGTTTTAGATCACAGGAACATCAGTGGTATGCCATAGTGGCTCAGCCGGTCTGTTTGGACTGCTAATTTATTGACTGAAAACTCTATTGTCACTCTGTCAATCGTAGCTTCATTATTATGAAAGAAAGAGAAGGTCATAACCTCATTCCCAAATTTTTTTTTTCACTAAAACCCCAGCATTTTAGGTAATCATAGACTTTGAAGTTGCTTTCGTGTATTGACCTTGTTATGTCAACAGACTTACTCGAAACTTGTCATGTTATGTCTCTGCTTCATTTGAAACATAGTGTTATTACTTTTCATTTAAGAGACTACGATGGCCTCGAAATTTAAGACATTTCGTCGCATTTGTACGAGAACTTCGAAATGGTGTTCCTGGCTGTATTTTCTTTTTGCACATTTTGTGGCCTACCAAGCATGCTTGTCAAAGCAAGAGCTATGCTGGGTATATGCTACCCTTGTGCAAAATGAATAATTTTTTCCGATTAGTTGTTATGCCCCTGACATTTATAGTTTGAAGCAAGATCACAGCTAAGCAAGAATCAACAGCCTTTTTCAGTGAAAAGCTTTGCAAACTTGGTGCTTATCTTCACAGACATTTGTTCATTTTCACCAGACCATTAACCGCTAGTGAGACCACTATCGTAGATTTTGGTTGGATGTTAGACAAAACTAAAAAGCTTTTGTCGTGTTTATTATTGAGTTACCGACACGTATTTAGGTGAATCCCGACTTAATATTACGTACAGGCTAGCAGATATATTTAGCTGCAAGGTCTTTGTGTCAGCTACTTCAGCTTTTCTTCCTGTGTTGGAAGCCATGGAGCTTATTAATCGAGTGCTGTGTGCGCACCCCCTCCTCTGCCCAGGTTAAAAAGTCTGTCGCTGGCTGACTGTGATTTGACAAGCGTCTCGTTCCCAGAGACACCGCCAGGGCCAGAAAACCCCGTTGTTTGTTCACCTGGTGACTGCTGAACCTTCACAACAACCGTCTCGAAGAGGTGGGCAGGCTGTTGGCATTGTTACAGCAGCTGTCAAACATAGTGAGCTCATAGATCGGTGGTTCTTAAAGTTACTAAGGAAATCCTGTGATGTACCATTGTTACAGCACTGGTCGAATGTAATGAGCACATGGATCGGTGGTTTTTTCTAGGCACATGGAAATATTCAAGCTGCTCTGTATGTTTGAGTGAATATTACATTATTAGAATTCATGAAAATTTCTCCAGCGACTTTGACTTGGGCAGAGTGCAAGATGACGAGGTCGCCAACCCTGTCAACCATTTTTCATTTAACTAGGTCGTAAGCATTTCAGAAGATAATTCACTAGACTGATATGTTATTGAAGAGGGTTTGCAAATTGGAAATGAGTGTGTATTCATGTGCACATATGATAGAAGTGCTAGTTCACCTTCGCTAGCTCACTTCATGGATTCATTAACATATGGTGACCTTATATCAAGATCAAACGATTAAGAAATCAATGTTAAGGCAGCTATATTGTATGTTTTTGTACCTTGTAATAATCACTGTGCCTGCCACTGTTGCATCGAATGGAACCAAATGAGATTTTCTGCTTCATCCTGCTTAAAAAAGCACGATTTTGCACCTAAATGCAATAATGCGTTGTCGTGAGACAGTATGCGCAACCTAATCTCGGAGATCATGGCCAAAATTAGTGACAGAGTGAAATGCGTGTGGCAAGCAAAAGTAGTTGGCAGCCGTGCATGACATGTCTTATGCTCACTGTCATTGAAGTTTGCATTTGCTGCTTGTGATGTTTTTAAAACGTCTGGCCTGTCTGCGTACTTGCTCAGCTGTGCTGGCAGTCTGTTGCAAATCTATGGAGGCGTCTCCTAGCCAACCGCCTCTGAACATTCTTCACGCGTGGAACAGTTGCATCTTAGCTTTGATACTGTATTTACTCGTGTAATGAACCCATTCGCATAATGAACCTACCACCCACCTTCGCTTTGAAAAAAGAGAGAAAAAAAAAAAAGCTTTTTTGTAATGTATCTGTTAATTTTATTTCGGTATGGTAGCCAGTGCCATTAATGGTTGAAACAGCATTAAATCAAGCAATTATATCACAAAATACAACACATTAAAAGTGAAAACATACCGTATAAACCGGACTATAGGTCGAGTGGCAATATAGGTCGACCCCCCAAGTTCAGGTTAACGAGAGAAAAAAAAAAAGGAAAACAACCCAAAATTGCCGAACGAAATTTATTTGCGAATTGGGCTGCACCGCACCACGATCTTCGGAGCTCCCCTCAACCACCATCGTAACTGTTCCTATTCGTCAGACGAAGCACCACTGTCTTTTGAAGACGAGAGTTTGCGCTGGCCGCCTCCCACAGTGCGTTGTCTTCCATGTCATACAGCGAGTTGCTGATGGAACATTTCTTAAAAGCATTTTCCACCATGGAATCTGGCAAGGAACGCCAGGTGGAAAGCACCCAGCCACAAACAGTTGCAAGCGGAGGCCTCTGTAGGCGGCTCGTCGGTGTCTTTGGGTTATCGCCAGACATCCTTTTTGGTTCTCCAGCCGCACTCAGTCCTTGAACGGCTTGTTTACTTGTTTAGCACAACGTCGATCAGTTGGAGGGTGGGCGTCATACCACCTGGTATCACGGCGAGGTTCGTTTTTCCATCACCCAGTGCACGCTTCACAGTGTCGCTTAAGTGACCACAAAACGCATCTGTGATGATGTGGATTGTGTGGCCCGTGACGGGGCGAAGAGGGAACGGCAGTTCTGCTCTGCGGTACGCCTTGGAGGCGAAGACGAGGAAAAGGAAGCGCGAGCGGGGCGTGCGGCTCGGGCAGTTGGAGCGTGACTCAGTTCGAACGGCAGCTGCTGGTCGGCGGTTCGGGTCGCGACATCGCTTAACCAGGCGTCTGGCAGCCTTGCGGACCTGGTGAGCTGGCTTCCTGCTTCGGGCTGCGTCACTCAACCAGGTGTCCGGCAGCCTTGCGGACCTGGTGAGCTGGCTTCCCGCTCTGTGGCCGGCGCTGACACGGGGACCAGCAGCATAGTCTGTTCGTGGCCTGAGGTCCTGGGGCCCGAGTGGTGGCACGAGGTGGCCGCGGCTCATGTTGGCGACGGGCCATTAACCTGCACTGCAGTGACCTGGTGATCTACCGGCCTGCAGCACCACCACCACCACCACCTCACCACGGTCAAGGCAGCGTGACTGCACAAGGAACACCGGTGACGACCGACCTCGCCGCAGCGGCAACAGTCATAACGGCGAGTAGGACAGTTCGTGTGCCGAGGCACGTAGGCCGTTTGGCATGTAAATAAGGAACGCTATAGTGTGTTGTGTGTGAATTGTAAGAGTTATCGGTTGTGTTAAAGTCTGTGTTGTGTGTACAGAGTCACCTGACTGCCGGTTGATTTATTCCGGATCCTGGGCCCACATTACACCATAACAGCATCTAACACCAGCATGCCACAAAGACGCAGCAGTGCACCTGGCTGACGGTTCCAGACTACTTGTATCCATTCGAGCATCATGGCCTCGTCCATGTATTCCTTTTTGTTGACGCGAACGACAACACTAGGTGGGAACACTTCTGGCATTGTCTTACGTTTGGAAATGATTAAGGGTGGAAGCTTTCTACCATCTGCCATGTATGCCAGCATGACGGTGAAGCGCGAGTGCTCGTTGCCAATGGACAACAGCTTTATATCCTTGGCGCCATGCTGCACGATCATGGTCGATGAAGGCATGTCAAACCACACGGGAGTCTTATCGGCATTGTCAATGTGCCCCATCATGTAGTTGTTCTGCTCCCGAAGCCGGTTCACAAATCCCTGAAAATTTTTAAGCTTGTTCTTGAACTCATCTGGAAACTTATGACAGATGGATGTGTGCCACCGGAAAGAAAATCCTTTGTGTCTTATGAATCGACGCACCCAAGAGTTTGGTGCACGAAACTCTTCTCTCGTGAGCCCAGCTTCTCGAGCGAGTTCCACAGCTTTCTTGCGAATGGTATCCACGGTCACTGGCAGCGAGCACGCATGAACTTCCCACACAAAGTTCCCTAGCATATTCTCTAGCTGGGGATGAACCGCACTTCGCCCACGAAATGACATTTTCCGATGATTGCACATCTGCAGCTTCCCTTTCTGCACCCTCCAATAGTGCATGCTTTTTTCTGATACACCAAAGCGGCGCTCAGCAGCCATATTCCCATTCGCATCTGCAAACTCAACAACCTCTAGTTTAAACGCAGCTGAGTATTGCCTTCTCGTACGGCTACTCATATTGCCACATGGTTTGCTTGGGTGAGATCGAAGAGTGAAAGAAGACAAAGACGATCTCTCTGAGCCGCTGCTTGAGTAGTCGACTAAACGAGCCCATTTTTATCAAGTTTGTTGAGAGTAACGTGACAAGACTGGTGGAGTTGCTGGGTACAACGTCTCGCAATCCACCCGATGCCCAAGACCTCGTCCAGCAGCCGGAACACAAGCCCTGCACCCGTGGACACTCCTGTTCATAGAGTAAGCCGCCGCCAACGAGGCCTACCACCTGAGACACCAACCACTGACGCAGCGACTATGACTTCGACACAAGATCCCATGCAAGCTCCGACACCTTCCACGCCGATCTACTGCACCGTCCAGAACCCGCTCATGCCTAGCCCCTTTCACGGAGAGCAGCATGAAGATGTTGACGACTGGCTGAGTGAGTTCGAACGTGTCGCAGCGATCAATTACTGGGATGATGCCGCGAAGCTCCGGAACGTGTATACGTGCCTAAAAGACGGTGCCAAGACGTGGTTTTTGAACAGGGATGATGTTCTGACATCTTGGCGCGAGTTCCAGCGTCGCCTCCTGGAGACCTACAGGAGTCCCGACCACCGCGAACTGGCGGAGCGTGCATTACAATCACGCATCCAGATGCCCAACGAGACCGCCTCGATGTACGTCGAGAACATGACACGTCTTTTCAAGCGAGCGGATCCTGCTATGGCAGAAGAAAAAAAGTTGCGCCACCTCATGCGTGGTGTGAAGAGAGAGAGAGAAAACTTTATTAAAAGGTCAGTCAATTGCTCAGGCATGGCCCGTTGCCCCTAGCTGTCGGCCGGAATCCCTTGGGACGCGGCAGCAGCAAGGGCTTGACTGATGATGTTGCGCTGGACGTTGGGATCTGGGCTGCAGAGCAGGGCCTCCCAGGATTCTACAGTGCGAGAACCATCGTTTTTACTTGGACATGTCCACACCATGTGGACCAAATTCGCTACGTCATCACAAAATTTACACTGGGACTGGAAAACTGCGGGGTGCCACTTGCTGTAAAGTGCGGGGTTTGGAAAAACCCCGGTCTGTAACTTTCGCCACAAAATCTCGTTTTTCTTACTTAGTGAGTTGTCCGCTCTCGGGTATACTTGCCGATTCAGCCTGTAGTGTGCGACGATTTCATGGTATGTGCGCATATACTCGCTTCTTTGTTCGGTAACTTGGGAGGTTCCAGGGGTCGACCGGTAGGTGAGACCTCGGGCGACGGAATGAGCCTCCTCGTTCCCTCTAAGTCCTTGGTGAGCTGGAGCCCAGACGAGCAGAATCTGCTCTTTGGGTACTCCTACCATGTTTAATATACGGACGGCAGTCTCCGTCACCCTTCCCGATTCGTAATTTCTCACAGCGTTTTTGGAGTCGCTGATGACCACCCTGATCCCCTTTTGGCTGATGGCCAAAGCTATGGCCACTTCCTCGGCCTCTACAGTCTCGACACCAAGTACTGTGCAGCACGCAATTAGGCCACCATCTCCCCTGACCGCCACTGCCGTGTGTGCCGCTTTGCTTTTATATTCCGCAGCGTCTGTATACGCGACGTCCTGTCGACCAGTGTACCTAGATTGTAATGCCTCTGCCCTGGCTTTACGCCTGCCTTCGTGAAAGTTAGGGTTCATATTTCTGGGTAGCGGAGGTATCTTTATCCTGTCCCTGATCTGTATTGGTATGTCTTTTGAACGCGCTTGCTCACGCGT